CTGTCATCAGGGTTGGTTTTGATAGTGTCGATCACCTTTTGCAGTTGGTCTACTCCTTGACCTGAATAATCTGTAGAATTACCAAAAAGAGAGTATGTGCACACGTTTATCACAACATCTTGTGAGATGGCTTTACACATTGTCTATCACACTGTCCTTCCACAGTCCCCCTCCGCTCATGGTTATAAAGCAGCCAATGGGCTCCATAATTTCCCAGATCTCACTGGGATTGAGATCTGAGTATGTTGAATTTAACGCCTGGTCTAGGCTTCTAGGTCTGCCTTCTGGAGCCACAACAAAGTCTATTTTTCTTCCTATATAAAAGTCCTTTAAGTATTTGATTGGTCATGGTGTCACCTCCTCCCCCATGTCAACACTTTCTTCCAGTGGTCCCCAGAGGACTTAGTGTCTATATCCATCAACCATTTTCGTCATGCCTCATGGACATGATCTTGTTTATCTGTGTCCCACAGAAAGTACTAGGTCTTAAATAGAACATACAATTCTGTACACAGTAAAGACTAACAGAGGACTGTGGATTCCTTTCTGTGACCTTGACAGTATCCTTCCAACACTTGCACCTAAAATTACAACTTAGTAGGTAAATGCCAAGTCATCTGTACATATCAGGAAACCCCTACAATTATTGTACCACTTTTGTACTTTTCTCCCATTTCTGGTCTCTGGACTTTAATTTCTGGCCTACCTTCTAAAGCAGAACTAAAAGCTGCGAAATGCAGAATCTCACATTCTCCTCTGGTTAAATCTCCACTCATTGGGGTCACACTGTTCTAGTCCTGCAGTTCTTAATTTTTTGGAGGAAAGCTGGACACAATCAGTTCCGACAAAGGTAGCATCAAAAAATTTAAAAAGATGAACTGCGATGGAACAGCTCTGTATCTTGACTGTAGTGGTGGTTACACGCCACATGCTAAAACTGCATACCCACACGTGCTGATGAATACACACGAAACTAGAGAAATCGGATGAGCTCCTGTGGACTCTGCCCATGTCAATTTGTACGAGATGTTACCTTTGGGGTAAACTGGGTAAAGGGCACAGGGACCTCTCTGTACTTGAAGTCCTAACTATTTAAAGATTAAAAATTAAAAGTACACACACTCCTACTGAAGTCCAAAAGCTGAGCATTCATGCAAAGTTAAACTGAGGCCATGATTTTATTAGGCCCCCTTAAGCGACAATAAAGACTTGAACACTAGGCAGGATTTAAGGCACGATTTAGGCAGGGGAGCAGCTTCATACCCTGAGGTGTCTTGGACAGAGGTTGCAGACCACTTACCTACAGAAATAGTTTGGCCCACACAGCACTCTTTAAAATTTACATAACATTAAATGTTCAATTTTAACCATTTTTAGGCTTGCAATCAGTGGTATGAAGTACATTCCCAATGTTGCGCAACCATCACCAGCCTCCACCTCCAGATTTTCATCTCCCTAAACTGAAACTCCATACCTTTCAAGATTAACCAGCCCCCGCCCCTGGCCACCACCATCCTATCCCTATGAATTTGCCTATTCCAGGTCTGCCCAGCACTTCAAAACTTAATGAAGTTGCCAACATTCAGCTCTCAAGATAGCACAGAAAATGCAGTTTAGGCTTTAACTGAAGAATTAATGACAGTATCAGGCTGACATCTCTTCAGCTGGCTGGAGATGTGACTGCCCCCTTTGGGTGAGACTCATGCTCTCCAGGTGGCAGGATTCTGCCCAGCCAGCAAACTGTCACCTCCTGCACACACTATGTATACATAGAGAGACACATTTGCTTTTGTAACCTCTTAGGGATAAGTGGGACAAAGGGGCAGACTCGAGCTGGACTCAGCAAGTGGCACCAGCGAGTGACAGGGGGAGGTGGACACTCAGTAGTGATATGTTTCACCTTCCTCCACCACCAGGGTGGAGAGGAGATGGAGACAGAGAAATGAGTTACCACATCAGCGCCACCTACAGTGAAGGGTGGCTCAGTGTTGAAAAGGGAGATCAAAGCCAATGCAAGGCAATCTCTGGGTGTTTAGTCCCCCAGATAACCTTCCTACCTTATTCCCTGAGACCGCAACCAACCGTGTCATTATTTGCTAATGAAACAAGGCACAGAAAGTGCCGAGCACCCGATAATGCTAATCACTGAGAATGTGACCTCACCTCCATAAAGGTGTAGTTGCAGCTTTCTGAACCTGAAATAGCTTCTCACAAGGTTCAAGTTATGTATCAGCTTGCCAGACACTGGCTTCTTTTCCCCCACACTTCACCTGAAACCTTGGAGCTATGAGGGGCGCTCAAATATCTGAGGCAGCTCAGTCTCCTCACCTGAATCCATATCTTTGTATTCTGCCCCAAAATGCCTCCACTGAAAGCCATAAACTGGGCCTAAATCTCCCTCTTTTCTGCTAGAGAATCCCAGGCTGTCCAGGAAGGCACGGGACCCGTTGGCATCCCAGATTTTCACTCCCCTGGCTGACAGTTCATTAGCGTTCGTGGACCCCTGGAAGAGATGGGAGAGCAGAGCAGGTGAATTCACTCACCCGGACTTTGGAACCATCCAGGCTTATCCACCAAGAACACCTACCAAGCTGCCGACAGGCACTCAGTACATCCCTACCCAGCCTGTCCTTTAAAAAAAAAAAAACCCTCACCTGAAGATATGTTTATTGGTTTGAGAGAGAAACATCGATTGGTTGCTTTCCATACATGCCCCCACCTGGGATCAAACCCACAACCTAAATATGTGCCGTGACCAGGACTCAAACCCACAACCTTTCTGTGTACGGGACAACGTTCCAACCAACTGAGCCACCCAGCCAGGGCAGCCTGTCCTATCCTTAAGTAGGCTGGTCCCACCCCAAACTTTGGAGGGCCTTCCGGTCAGTCTGATCCCTTCTCTGGAACCACCCCCTGAAAAATTTTTTTCCTGTTCCTCTCGATGAAATTTCCTAGACGACACACCTCCAAATCCTTTAATTATTCCCACACCATCTAGTGGTTCTGTGTTTCTTAACTAGATGTGTTCTCCGTCCAAGGATGATACCCAAAATAAAGAATTTAACTAGTGAATTTAATGTTTCACATGCAATCTGTTGGGAGTAACTTAGATCTGGTATATAGAATATTTCTAGTGACTGGCCGAATCAGCACTAGCTTTTCTGGCAAATGGATGTCACATATCTTATATATGCCATTATCGAGTTATGTTTATCCCAACCTATACTTGCCTAGTTGATTTGTTTTTGCCAAGTACAGGCCTCATGTTCACTTTTCTTATATTTCATCCTATTAGATTTGGTCCTTGTCATCCTAACCTGTATCCTGATTGTGCATCTAGGTCAAGGACAGACACCACTGGCTCCTGGTATCTTCAGGTATAATGTGCCATAATGGTTACAAGCAAGACAATGGCACCACACGACCTGGGCTCTGTGCCTGCTTTCTAACTTCCCTTCTTTACCTTGATAAACCACAACAGCTCCTCCAAAATACCCTTCCAGAACACACGTTTGGTTGTCAGCAGAGGAAATTCATCTGAAAAACAGTTTGCCATATAATTTCAAGATGGGAGAGCAGCACGGGCCATCCAACTTTCTCTGTGGAAGAAAACTTCCCCAGAACCTTAGGCCCTGGAGTGACTATAGGAACTACTGGAAAACTGCGACTCCCGCCAAGGGGGAAGCCCTGATCTGGGTGGAGCTCCCAGGCTGCAGGGCAAGTCAGCAACACAATTCAGACCGAGACTGCCCTCCTGAGCCCTGCACCCACCAGACACAGACGTTCCACACAGTGAGATGGGGACAGGGAAGGAGCACCATCCACTACCCTGCTGGCAAGACTCCTTCGCAGAGGTGTGAGGACAACATACAAAGCATGCCTCCGGAGAGCCTGTAGGCTCCCTGGGCTATCCCATGATTATCCTGCCAAAGAAAACTTGCTCAGGGGCCAGGGATAGTATATATCACCCTGGTCAAAACTGAAGAACAGTTCTTAAAGATCTGCAAAGCAAATTAACCTCTATGTTTTAGGTGTACCTAAACAGTAACTGTTTCAAGACTTCATATACATGATCCTATTTACTCTTCAAAACAATCCTCCCAGAGGCATCTTTGTGATCTCCATTTCACAGTCACCAGGAAGGAATACAGAAGTTTGCACCAAGAAACAGAAAAATAAAAATGTAAAAGCTTGTCTCTACTCAGCTGTACAGTTGATATCCATGTAACCAGGATAAATTTTTCAAGCACCTCATTTTATCATTATTGCCTGAACATTATTTCCCCCACTCCAAGTACGAAGTAAGTTGCCCCAGGTCTAAAAATAGGAGCTGGAGTTGAAACTAGGTCAGTGGTTCATTTAAGGCCGTAAGACCCTACGCAAACCAGCTCTCTAATCCACGTCTCAGTTTTGGCGTCTGGGGAGACTGGGACTAAACCTAGCCCGCCCCCCCCCCCCCCCCCCCCCCAGGTTTCCCAGCCGCAGCTCCAAGCCCACTAGGGCGCCCTCCAGCCCGTCCCTGGCGAGACCAATGTCACCTCTCAGGCTGTAGCGCGCCTGCATGCCGAACACCGACAGGGTACCGGTGCCGGTGCGGTCATCCTTTCGGAAGCCACTACGGAGAATATGCTCAATCTGCCCAAGGTACTGCAGCTCCCCGTGGGGCTGCGGCTCGGCGCATTGCTCCCGTGAGGCCGGCGGCGATGGCGGGAGCGGCTGCGGCTGCTCGGAGCCAGAGGCTGGCATGTCGCCAGCGCAGCGGCAGGCACACAAACAACGGTCGGCGGGCAAAACGTTCGGTGCTCAAAACGGTCGGTGCGCAAAACGTTCGGTTCGCAAAACGTTCGGTTCGCAAAACGGTCGGTGCGCAAAACGTTCGGTTCCCAAAACGGTCGGTGCGCAAAACGTTCGGTTTGCAAACCGGTCGGTGCTCAAAACGGTCGGTGCGCAAAACGGACAAACCTCTTCCGAGCGCCTTTTTTTCCCGCCGACCCTCCAGCGACTCCGCCCCTTCCTGCTCAGTAACGTCCGGTCCTTCAGCCCCTGAGGTCGCGGAGCCATGGCGCGGGGGTGGGGCTTGGGAAGCCACAAGCTTCCCACCACGGCCGCATAAATGTAACCGGTTTTAAAAGTTGAGAACTTTGCTTGGCTGGTATAGCTAGCTCATTGGATTGAGCGCAGGCCTACCAGCCAAGGGGTCGCAGGTTTAATTCCCAGTCAGGGCACAGACCGGGGTTGTAGGCCAGGTTCCCCAGTGGGGTCCATGTGATGATTCTCCTCTTTCCCTCTATATAAACAAAATCCTTAAATATATAAATGAGAGCTTTAAGCCCAAACCTGTATCTTGCCCGGAAAGGCCGCTCTACTTGGAAAGTTTCGGTTGGAAAGTTTCGGGATCGAACCCAACGTTCACTGATTAAAGGGGAGTTTGGAACAGTCTCCAAGTATTGGTGAGTCCAAGTATTGGTGAAATACTGGAACAGAACAAAACCTTGTTATCTGAGCTGATTTCTTAAAACTGAGGGAGCGTGCTAACAGGGGATTTGCATTTTCAATTCTTCCCCGTCCTCATTGAAGGCCCAGCTGGAGCAAGTATAATAAGGCAGCGTATTTACATGGTTGATGACAACCAGGAGTTTGTAAGTTTTTAATACAAAAATTGCAGTTTTAGGGAAATGTTTATAATATAAACATGGTGGGTGGGAACTGGTTGATAATGAGTTTAAAATGTACTAATATGGAAGTACATACAAGTATAACAGGGTGCAGCCAAGGGGGGCAGCAAATAGGGATAAGAACTCAGAATGATCAGGAAATATTAGAGAAAAATATATGTATGATGTCCTCGCCCCCCACCAGTCTGAGTTGGGGGATGGGACACAAGGAGTGGGGCCATTGAGAGATGTTTTGTAGAGGAGCAGCATTAAAGCTAACCTCTGGCATGGGCATTTAACATATCTATAACCTTTAACTGGTTTCATAGATATGTTAAGTAGCTGTGGCCAGGCTTTGAGCCAGGGGGATGGGAATGACTCTAACCCTGGATGTAACTGGGAAGCAACTTCCCCTGGTTACAGCCCCTGCATGAAAGCTTGGAGATGATTGGCTCCATGCCATGGGGCCATGCCTGCCTAGACTTACTAGGGCAGCCCAATAAAGCTAGAAGGATAAAGGATTGCTGGCAAGTGTAGCCGACTGTAGGAGGAGTCAGAAAATGGGGCTACAGAGGAAGATTAAGGTGGAGGATTTAAACCCAGGTGCAGCAGCCATACCCAGGTCAGGTCTAGGAGGCTTTGGAAGAATGACACCACGCGTCTTGGGTGGGAGTTAGGACCGCACGGGATCTGGGGTGCTCCCTTTTGCCTCGTGGCTTGGGCAGCTGGAGAGACTTCGGCTGGAACAAAAGGGGTGAAAGGATTCTTGCTGGTGGGCCATGAGAAAGTGGCTTCGGAATAACTGGAGATCGTGGAGGTGACACAGCTGATGGTGCCGGGAGCCTGAATAATGGACTTCTACTTTTCCTGGGATAAAGTACCCCAGTCTGGGCAAAGGGGAGAAGGAAGGACTGTGTGTTTGTGGATATTCTAAAGAACTTTAGTATTTTAATGACATTAAGTCATTACTCTAAGTCTATATAACTTTTAAATAAGTAATTCCTCTCCTTTTGACCAACCTCTGGCATTGAGAGACATCTTTCCTCTGGCAGCCAGCAAAGTAAACCTAGTACAGGGAGGGGAACCCTCAGAGGAAAAAAGGGGGGTCTTTTTGGTAATAATATATCATTCACCCCCCCATCTGTTCTATAACTCAAGCAGTCTTTAAATCACCAAGTGTTCATTGAGCACGTAGATGTTCAATAATTTATTGCTGTGTCTGGGGTAATGAAGAATAAGATGTGGGCTCTGTCTGACACATTTTAAACACTATTTCTCACCATTCAATAGTCAGTGGTTTGTTTTTATTGTCTTTTTGTTTTTGTTTGTTTGTAATCTCAAGTTTGTTATCTGTGCAAGTATTAATGGAACTTGAATGCCAGGTTCTTGAGTCTCAGTGCCATAGACATGAGCACTGAACTCAGTACAAGATCAAGCAGATAGTTTATTGGAAAGAGCTTGTGCACTAGGAAGTCTACCAGAAAAGAGAAGTGGAGCTCCCCGAGGGGTTCTTGTGGCTGGCTTACACAGGGGCCCTGGGTAGGGTGTAGGGGCTTGAGAATTCAGATGAGGTCAGTTGTCCCAAGATCCACAGCAGGTAGCTGTTGATCCCAGGGTAGTTAGTTACAAGATGTTTTCTGTGGTCAGTGGACCACCCAAAGAGCCTGCAAAATAATGCTTGCGTAAACATTCTGGTTATCATTAAATTGACAAAATGACTATTTTGCAGAACAACATGTTAAAAATGATGTTATTATTATACATTCTTTCCTTTAAAGATGTGGTTAGGTTACTTTTAACTACAGAATTTTATTGAAAGTAGGGAGTCATAGGCCTCCAAGATGGGATTCTTTTAGTCAAGATGGTAGTCCAGTGAGTGTTACCCCTTCCCCATCTCACAAGTTTCTGGATTCTTTCTGCTAAAGTGCACCTCCCAAACTCAATGTTACCATTTTTAACAGGAAAACAGAGTGGGGGGAGATAGTATTTTTCACTGGCAGCTCTGACTAATCTGTTCAGAAAAAACAGTGCTGCATGCCTTTTTGTGGCAGAAAGCCTATACAAAGTAGATTGAACCTCAAAGACACTTTACAAAATTCTTGGCTCCCCGGGTATTTGGGAGAGAAAAAGGTTCATTGGAGAGAAAAAGAAACTAACCTAAGAACAGACTAAAGAATTGTTTCAGAGGACATTTCAAAAGCCTCATACTTGAAAGCCCATTTTTTTGCTATTTGGTTGTCCGAGTGCCCACAGAGGCCACAGAACACTGACATGCATCGGTTTACAGCAGGGGGTCCGACCCAAGGGCCGCACGCAGCCCAGGATGGCTGTGAATGCGGCCCAACACAAAATTATAAATTTACTTAAAACCTTATTTAGTTTTATTACGAAGTTTCATACTAAGTTTTATTGCTTAGGTATGTACATTTTCTATATTAATGATCACAAACTTGGGACCTGCTCAATGATTTTAAAAGATTATGGAAAGGGCCACTATAGAATTAGGGTTTTTATGTGAGGGCTGTTTTCCTTATCTGTGGTGGCAGATATCATGAAAATTATGCATGGACCTTTATTTTGCTCATCAGTTTCCGTTAGTGTTCATGTATTTAATGTGTGGCCCAAGACAACTCTTATTCCAGTGTGGCCCAGAGATGCCAAAAGGTTAGGCACCCCCGGTTTACAGGATAGCAGATTTTTTCAGTGTATTTAACCCATCACAATACTAGGTTGGCCTTTCCTAGGTCAGTGTAGATTCATTTTATTCCTCCTCTAACATATTCACCACCCCAACCACATAATAGTTTTAAAAAGTTACCTGCATCTCCTTTGGAAATGATGGCCCTCCTGTGTCTTGTTGTACTGTTCGGATGAGGTAGGAGACAGTGGGCTGTCTCCAGGTGTGTGGGCGTTCTCTTTGATGGTGGTTTGTGAAGAGACATGCTTGGTCAGAAAATCTAAACTCAGACAGCAGACTTTATAGAAGCATGGGAACTCGTGTTGTCTGCACTAGCTTGAGAGTGTCCCTAGATTTAGGAAGGTAAACATGAAGGTGCAGTCCTGGTGGGCCGGGAACTATAGAGCTCTTCGCTGCATGAGATTGCCCTGCATGTTATCGCAAGGTTTCAACATGTATGTAGAAAGTCAACTAAATGCCAGGTATTCATCCAACCCTACACTGTGGGGGCGACTTCTCCGTAAGTCCCACCAGTGCCACGGACACTTGTGAATGAGTAAATATGGCCAAGACATGCTGGATCTGTTTAGGGGCGGAGGAGTGGGCTGTGGCCAGTTTCTCAGGGGAGACAAAGGTCAGCAGCGGCCAGTTTCTCCGAGGAGAAAAAGGCCCAGAGCTCCTTCTTCCATAGCCTTTTACTGGGTTGTAATACACAGGAACACAGGGCGGCAACGATCAAACAGTAGATAACATTTCAAAGAGATCTGAGGGCTTCAGAGTCTGAGTCAGTGCCTGTGAGGGAGAGAGTTGCAGAAACTTTGGGAGAGGTACTCATTTCCTCTCGGACCCTTATCATATGAATGAAAGCACTCTTAGCAGATTTCACAGGTTTATCAGCAAGTCTTTGTGATGCCAGATTTTTTCCTCAGGACACGCTCTAGCAAGGCAAGGAGCTGCACCTCTCCCTAACAGGTATTCAAGCTTAAGAGGATTAGAACCAGGAAGTGCTTCTGCCAGAGGACATGGGAACTTGGGCTTTGTCAAAGCTGGGGGGCGAGAGTTCCTTGCTCTTAGTTGCAGCCCGCCCCCAGTCCTTCCATGAAGGCCTCCCAAGTGATCGAGTCTGGCTTAGGTTCCCCCCCCCGCTGTGAGGGGTCTTACCTGTCATTGACTTCCAACCAAGCTTTGGGGGCAGGGAGAGGAACTGAGGCAGCATTTGCTACCAGAGACAAGCTTTGTTTCCTGCGGCTGGCATTCCAAAGGTTGTCTCTCGCCCTTAGCCACAAGGGGTAGAGATACAATTCCTAAAATCAGGCAGAGCGGTCTACAACACTACAGGTACCAAATAGTGTCTCCACACATTTTCAACCATTGGAGGATCTCAGGCTGAAAATATCACAGATTGCCCAGTTAAAGTTACGTTCTGTGTCTATTACCTTTTTGTTGTTTTGAACTGATTGTTTAATTATTCCAGTGGAAGATTGGTTGTACCCCAAGGTTAATCTCAAGACATAAGAGTAGGCTTCCCTGCTCACAAAGAGATTCCTCTTCCACTGCAGTACTTGGAGGTACTAGAGTGATGATAATAGAGAATGCCTCCTTTCCTGGTAGCTGCTCCATAAATAAATGTAGGGTAGAATGAATGATCTCAGGCAGCATGTCATTCATTTATTCATCCAATAAGCACTTATGTCAAGTGCCTACCACCTGTCAACAAAGAGCAGACGAGGTCCCTGGTTTCACAGAACTGATATTCTAGCAGAGAACAATGCATAAGTGCCTGCATGAAACACTCGCAGATAGTGACAGGTACTGTGAGGGTTTCTAACTGTGGAAAGGGCTTCAGAGGGTACAGAGGGACTACTTAGATCTCATCTCCAGACAAGACCTTGCTGAGGAGGCCACCTTGGAGCTGAGGCCTGAACAGTCAGAAGAAGCCAGCAGGGGAAGATACAGAGAAAGCGCATTGCAACCTGGAGTGCGCTGTGCCAACAGATTTCTCAGCACTTAGGAAAACAAAAATGAAAAATAAGGGTGGTATTGATGCCCTGTCATTCTAGTAAGAAATAATAATTGTCAGCTTATTAAGGGAATAGCTCCTCCTCATTAAAAGATCTATTTATATTAGAATTTTCTTTATGTTTAATAGTCATAAAAACTTGTGATAACTTGGTTATTTTGACCAATTATGTGCAAATAGTAATTATAATGGTGACTCAATTCAGCATGAATATGTGATACTTAGATTTTTGTGTCCCAGGAAATTTTTAATTTTTTAAATTGAAAAATATTTATATTTTATTGATCAGTGAAAGATGCTTAAGCACAAAAATATATTACATTAGGATAAAGTTCTCTGAGGAAAGTAGAATGGAAATAAGAGTTTAAAGAGAAAATGTAATGAGATAAAATTTCTTACTGTTAAAGAAAAAACTTGGTTGGATATTTGCTTACATGAATGATGCTGGGTATCAATTTGTCATATTTAGATTCCATTGGGTAGATTTTAAAGAGGGTGAAATAGTTTCATTTTATGTTTATTTTTATTTTTTTGAGTTTGTGTTTTTATTTTATTTTTTTTAATTTTATTGATTATGCTGTTACAGTTGTTCTATTCCCCGTTTCATTCCCCTCCACCCTACCCCCCCGTCCCCACCATTACCCCCCCTTTAGTTTATGACCAAGTGTCTCAAGTCCTTTAGATTCTATATTTCCCATGCTATTCTTGCCCCCTCATCTATTTTCTATCTACTGTCTATGCTACTTATTTTTTGTACCTTCTCCCCCTTTCTCCTCCTCCCACTCCCCTGTTGCTAACCCTCCTTGAAATCTTCATTTCTATGTTTCCACTCCTGATCTAGCTGTCCTTTTAGTTTGCTTTCGTTTTAGGTGTGGTTGTTAATAACTGTGAGTTTGTTGTCCTTTCACTGTTCATGTTTCTTTAACTTCTTTTTCTTAGATAAGTCCCTTTAACATTTCATATAATAAGGGCTTGGTGATGATGAACTCCTTGAATTTGATCTTATCTGAGAAGCACCTTATCTGTCCTTCCATTCTAAATGAAAGTTTTGCTGGATAGAGCAATCTTGGTTGTAGGTCTTTGGATTTCATGACTTGGAATACCTCTTTCCAGCCCCTTCTTGCCTGTAAGGTTTCTTTTGAGAAATCCACTGACAGTCTGATGGGGACTCCTTTGTAGGTGACTGTCCCCTTAGCTCTTGCTGCTTCTAGGATTCTCTCCTTCATTTTAATTTTGGCTAATGTAATGATGATGTGTCTTGGTGTGTTCCTTCTTGGGTCCAACTTCTTTGGGACTCTCTGAGCTTCCTGGATTTCCTGGGAGTCTATTTCCTTTGCCAGATTGCGGAAATTCTCCTTTATTATTTGTTCAAATAAGTTTTCCACTGGTGGCTGTGCCTTTCCCCCTTCTGGTACCCCTATAATTCGGATGTTGGAGCATTTAAAGATGTCCTGGAGGTTCCTAAGCCTCTCCTCATTTTTTTGAATTCTTGCTTCTTCACTCTTTTCTGTTTGGCCATTATTTGCTTTCTTCTGGTCCACTCCATTGATTTGAGTCCCAGTTTCCTTTTCATTGCTATTGGTGTCCTGTGCAATTCCATTCATTTCAATTAGTTTTGCCTTCATATATTTGTCTAATTTGTGGCTATAATCAACCAGTTCTGTGAGGATCCTGATCACCAATGTTTTAAACTGTGCGTCTGAGAGTTTTGCTATTTCTTCATCGCTTAGATCTATGGGCTCTGGGGCTTTGAGATCTTCTTGCACCATTTTTGGTCTGTTCTGGCCCTTTAAGTGTGAGAAGTGGCGCCTTGGGCTCCCAGGTCGCTGGTTTGTGATGCTGTATGTGGGGGCGTGGTCAGAGCAGGGAAATGGCGACCCCCTCTGCTGTTTCTCACAGCTGGGTGAGGAGCAGCGCCTTAGGTGGTTCACCTGGGCCGGGCCACTCAGAATCGCTGGGTTATGATGCTGTATGTGGAGGTGGGGTCATAGCAGGGAAATGGCGGCGCCCTCCACTGCCGCTTGCCGCGGGGATCCGCCGGCCCAGTCCAACCGCCCACTCCCTTGCCTGTCCACCCGCGCACAAATGCGCGACCACAGTCAACACGCAGCACCGCTCCCCCGCTGTCTCCCCCGCGGTCGCTCGCCTGGTCGCTCGCTCGGTCGCTCACTAGGTCTAACCCTGTGCCTGCGATCCTCGAGCCTGAGTCCGTCTGACCAAGTTTTCCTGTGCAACCCCGCTTCACCAGGCGCTGGTTTCGCCCCTTACCGGTCAGGCTGAAGAATTTGTTAACGGACTTCCGAAAAGTTCAATTTTTCGTGTTCTGGCTGTGTTTTCTGTTGCTAATATTTAGTTGTCTCTAAACTTGGTTGTGTGAGAAGGCACGGCACTTCCACCTATGCCTCCATCTTGGCGGAAGTCCAAATAGTTTCATTTTAAAAATATTACTTTAAATACACAGGAAAATTAAAAGTTGCTATTGTTTCAGTTTATATTGAAAAATGACAAACACAAGAGCATATGTAACTTTTTTAGTTTCATTATAGGATGAATCAGAAGAAAAACACTTGAATATTATTGCTTTAGGGATATCTTCTGCTTTTCTTTGCATGACAAACTCTCAAAAAATGTTGATATAATTAGATAAAGGAAAGCAGGAAATTAACATTTTTGAGAGTCAGGTACTTCATAAGAGTGTTCTTTACATAGGCAAAGTTACTATTATTGATAGTTATTATTATGATTAACTGTAGTTTTCACAACTACTTTATAAGACAAAAATTCTTACTTGCACCACTTTATAAAGTCACTGAGGTTTAGAGACTGTCAACATTAAGAAACATCCAAACCTGTAAGAATCTTTTTGTGAGTTTATTTGAGCCAAACTGATGACAATTGCCAGGAACCTCAACGGACTGAGAAAATGCTTCAGAGAATGGCAGTTCTACATCTTTATGCATTACAGTCAGAAGAGAGGGCATTAGTGGTTACGTGAAATCCGTTGGTGATTGATCAGGGAGGCAGGAGAAGGCAAAGTGGGGAAACTTCTGGGATTGAGTAAAAAGTAATATGGTAGACCACATTTCTTTTAAATAGGTGGAACAGGATAGTTACCAGTCAACAATTAACTCAATACCAATGAAGGGATTTGTGGTCTCCATGTTCATGCTTTGTCTTGCATGTGTGCTTTGAGGTTTCTGGAAAAAGGAAATTATTTTGACATTGTAAACGAATGTTACCATAGATGCAAAAAGGCAATAGATGAGTTTAATTAAGGTAAATAAAGATTGACTTTTGTCAGGGAAGATTCTAGCCCAGGACATGACTACCTGCCATAAACTGCTTTTACTTAATAAGTTTTCATTTCAGACCATCCTTTGTGGTTACTTTAGGTCTCTGACTTAATCAGGCCCCCTTGAATTTGTAACGTTTAGTATGTTGCCCCTTTTCATCCACAGTAGATTAAGGATCTGGTCCAATCACACACCTAGAAAATACAGCAGTCAGGATTAAAAGCCAGGTCAGCCTGCCTGCAAAGGCGTTTTACCACCTCACTGCTTTGAATCTGACCTCTCCCTTTTCTCTTCACTCTACAAGTTTTTGACTGACCATACATTAGTTTCTCTTTACAACTTTTTGGCACCTTCTCTGACAAATATATAAAATGTATGACTGAATAGACTCTATTTATTTAAGACTTATTGTACATTAAGAAATCCAGGGTTCTATCAATAGTGTATTCATTTTTTATAGCCTTCAGTTATGATTGGTAAGGTTTTATCTTTATTTGAAGTTGATTATATCGAATGGACTGCCTGTGAACTCTTTCTCTTACAAGCCTTTCTATCAAATCACCCAAAACTAGGTTGAAAAACACTTTAAAGGTTTTGAGCCCACTCTTTAATTATATTTCTTTTTATAATTTGAAATACTAATTATAAATATGTCCCTGATGTAATTCTTATTAACATATGCTGGCAAATGACTCTCCTGTTATTTATTACATGGAATCAAGGCCCAAATTTTGAGGTTATACAAGTGTCAGTCAAAAACACCTTGTGTTTTCCATAAAATATGTATGACATATTGTATAGACAAAAAAATGTACTATTGTGTGTATTTTAAAAAGAAACTAAGCAGTACAGCCATGTTCATAGTAGCACTATTCAAAATGTCCAAAAGGTGGAAGCAATCCAAGTGTCAAAAGGTGAATGGGTAAACAAAATGTGATACATACACACAATGGAGTAGTATTCGGCTTTAAAGCAGAAGGGAATTGTGACACATGTGACCACATGAATAAACCTTGAGGACATTATGCTAAGCAAAATAAGCTTGTCACAAAAGAACAAATACTGTATGATCCCATTTATATGAGGTACCTAGAGTAGTCAAATGTTTAGAGACAGGAAGTATAATGGTGGTTTCAAAGGGCTGGGAGGAGGGAGAAATGGAGAGTTGTAGTTTAACTGTAACAGTTTCAGTTTGGGAAAATGAAAAAGTTGTGGCAATGAATGGTGGAGTTGGCTGTACAATACTGTGAATATACTTAATGCCACTGAAATGTGCACTTAAAATGGTTAAATTAGTAAATTTTGTTATGTATGTTTTACCACACACACACACACAAACCTTATGCCATAGATAGGTCTTTACTAAACAAAGGCATGAATCATAGATTGTTTCAAAAAGTAAATTATTATACATTAAATTCAAAAGCAAATTGAAAGAATTCCTTGTTAATTAGAAATTGGGATATGCACAGTAGAAGTGATAGAACACAGATACCTTGGTGATTTAATGTTTAATACACAAATACATGTAAAGAACTATTAATGTACCATAGAACACAGTAATACATACATTTGGTATTTTGAAAATGAATTTTTATTGTAACTCAACGTGAATAGTTTTTAAATTGTCATTCAACCTAAGATAATTAACAATATTTCATAATATGTAAATGACAAACATCCCTGCAACTACATTTATTGTGTTATCCTATGTGTTTCAGGGTTTTCAGGTCTCAGCTAAGGCCGTGATTCTACTTGCTGGAGGTAGGATGCATCAGCTCTTCTTATCTTTAAAAAAAAACAATAATCAAAATATTAATAAGTTACTTATAGACTGAGTATATTTTTTCTTGGAATAAAAGTGCAGATGAATAATACAATAAACACTGTTGGCTTCTAAAAAAATTAACACATAGCAAAATAACAAAACCCTTATGTATGGATAATTTTAATGGCACCATTTGAAGGAATCTTCACAGTTCCCCTAGTTTGCTGAACTTCTGACCCTGCCTCTGATGTGAAACTAGTGTTTGTTCTGTACTCTGCGTATACACAATGTTTGCTCTTAAACTTCTGTTGCTTGTGACTGTTGACCCGGAGAAGGAATATATCTGCCAAGAATGATTCCCGATGGTACCTGGGCCCAAATCCCTAACCAGTCTAGCAGCCATTGCTGACACACACCTCTCAAGCACACTACATGTCCAGGAAAACCTATGGACTGAGCGGCCAAGCCTTCACCACTGTGTTCCTGCAGTTTGCGCCCACCCATACAAAGGAGTTCCTAGAATCCTGTTTCAACCAATGGGCTGAGACCTGCCCTGTCCAATTGAAGCTGAGCAGCTACACCTTCATTTGCATCTTTATAGACCAATTAGAGTAGTTCCATAACAGTCAATCAGGATGCACAATTTCAACCAGATCGTTTGCAAATAAATGATGCAAATTTGGATTCTTCATTTGCATGAAAATGGCCCCCAATAAGGGACCATTTTCATGCAAATGGTCTGTGCAGGGCAGGTACTTTATATAAGTGGGCCTCCCCTATATATCTGAGGAGCACACATTCAGCTTCAACCTGAGACTGCATTTCTCTGGTTTGCAAACTGTCCACCTGAATAAAGTTTGTCCATTTACTTCACTTCAGACTGGGCACTCCTGTTGGCATTGGCTTGGTGGCAGCAACTTTTTATTGACATGACCTATTCCTTTATTCAAGGAGTTTTTTATGTATGCCTTTCATGATGATCATGTAGGTAAGAACCAATCAACAAGTACATATTGACTGCTTGGGATGTGCGAGAAGTTCTGTTACAACCTGTAAATGTTGATCCCAGTCCCGGCAACTGTGAAAGTTGGTATATGGAAATAAAACACTTTGCAAACCAATCAAAAAAGTCAGGCACTCAAGAAGCTAGATTACTTGATGAGAGTTCCAAAAGAAGGTTCTAGATATACACTCTACCCTATAAAATTGGAATTCACGTTTTAGCAAGCTACATACTTGCAACTACAGCACCACAAAAATATTTACATAATTGGAAATGATGAGGTAATTCTTCATCTTTTTCTTAGTGTTTTTCTCTCTCACTGTTGGTAGGTTTGAGACCCTCATGAGTTGATATAATCTGAATACTGACAAATCTTATTCACTCTATTGAATAGGATGCACAAAAGAAGAAATTCAGTTGGTAAGCAAACTTGGAAGAATGTCCATTCTCTTGAGTAATCAAAAACATACAAGTTATAACAGTAAGGTAAAATTTTCATTTATTAGTAAAGTTTTAAAAATTAAAATGCTAGTTAGGATATGAAAAAGTGGTACTTCAGACATCACCACTATCAAATAGGCAAGGAAAATAAAATGTTAACCTTTAAATAAATAATTCCATTTCTTGGAATCCATCTAAAAAAATCAGCAGAAAATGTGAATAAGAAAAAAATAGTAAGATGATAATAAAGGTTTTTTTGAAATGGTGAAATTATGGGTAATTTTTGTCTTCTAAATTTTTGGATTTTGTGATCTTTTTACTTTTAGAATTCAAAAACTATAAATTAAAAAGAAAAACATTAAGATTGCTTTTGTGAAAGATCACCTTATGAGCCTTATTAGTAAGTAATGTGCTCAGTATCTCAATTTCTCAATATCTTATTTTACATTGTCATTACACCCTCATCATTACAAAATCTGCAAACAGATGATATTATTGAAAATATTTTTATTTGGCCGTGGCCAGTGTGGATCAGTTGGTTGCGTGTTGTCCTGCAAAGTGAAAGGATGAAGGTTCAATTCCTGGTCAGGGAACATGCCTGGGTTGCAGGTTTGGTCCATCTCTCCCATCAGTGTTTCTCTCCCTCTCTTTCTCTCTCCCTTTCCCTCTCTGTAGAATCAATAAAAGAAAAAAGTTTTAAAAAATATTTTTATTTGGATATAAGTGCATAGTCAATACCTATTTGAGCACTGGCACATTGTTTTCTTCTCAAAAACCTATCATGTTTCGCTGTGCCCTATAGAGTTCAAGTCCCAGGTATATAGCTGTCTGACTTCCCCTTCGATTTTGTGAGTAAGACAGCATTCTTCCATTTCTTTCAGCGGGGCTGGTCTTGGTTATTACAACAAAAGAACCCAGACTCACATAGGTGGAGGTTCCTGAACACAGGAAGCACAGAGGCCCCTGCTGGGAGAGGTAGGTTTAAGGGGACTTCTTAACATCTCTTGTACCAAAACACTCCACTCCTCTTGCTCTGTTTGCTCACACTTTCCCTTTTTTGGAATTGTTTTTGAAACGTCCTTCCCTTCCACCTCCACATTTTAATTTTATACATATAAAATAAAAATATATTCTATATAATAAAATTACATGTATTTATATATAAAATAACTATATATGTATAATGCTATTTTGAGAAAGGAAAGGAGAATGGTACAGGGAGGGAGGGAGGGAAGAAAAACAGCAAAGGAGAGAAGGTGAGTGGGAAAGGAAGAGAAAAAAGAAATATGTTCAACTGAGAAAGTTCTCCCCCTTCAGGAAAGTAAGTGACCCTCCCCTCAACTTCCAGAGGCCCTCACCTTTGGGCACTCATGGGATGGTTTGCATTACTATTTCCTGTGTGTATCTTTTACAACCCCATACTGGCCACTGGAAAAAAGCTCATTTGAGAAAGGATCTTATTGAATTCACTACTATCCACTCCACAGTGCCTGCACCCTGTGTCTTCACTTAGTAGATGGCTCTGATATTGGTTGTTTGATATCAGTTGAAAAACATTCCTCTAGAACTCAGAGGTGAAGATGGAGGCAGCAAACCCAGTAATTTTTAGCTTAATTATACATTGATGGCGACCTACTAACAGGGTCCTTTATGAATAATAACTGAGAATTAAATCATAATTATTCTTTAAGATAGATCATATTACCAAAGGAGTATATTATATACAGTTTTAATTGTGCCACAAATTTAGAAGTTATTTAGCCATAACCCACTTAACCATTTTCTTGTTTTTAGACAGATTGTTTTTAATATTTTACTATCTTAAATAATTTTTCAAATGTAGACTTGGGGTAGAGAGAGACTTTTAATCAAATTTAGATTTATTCCTTAGGATTGACTCCAGAAGTAAAGTTATTTTATCAAGAAGAAATTTTATGGCTCTGGACATGTATAATCATGTAGCTTTTTAAAAAGGCAAAAACAGTTTATATCCCCCCACCCCCACCCCAACAACATATAAGAATGCCCATTTCATCACACTCCTGTCAGGATTTTGTATTTTTTTTTCTAATTTGCAAATTTGATAGGCAAAAAATTCTATTTTGTCTTTTTAGTTTTCATGTATTTGATTATTAATGAGGTTGAACATATTTTTCAGGTATTTTAAAACCAGTTTTTTTTTTTAATGAATCATATGTCTGTCAACATTCCTAATCAGGCACTCTGCTTACCAAGTTTTAAAATGTTCCTTAAAATGCTGTACAGCTTTTTCCAGCATGTAACTTACAAAGTTAGAACTCTCAGCACTTTCTTCAAGAGGGATCTGGAGCGTGAAATTGGGGGAAGGCAGAATGCTGAAGTCCATCATTGTTTCATCTTGTTTGGAAAAATTTCCTTGGTGAACACCTGGAACTACCTGAGAAGAAGGATTATACAGTAAAGAATTACTAAATACCAGTGCACAATCAGGATTAATTTAATACCACATTAGTCAGGATAGGCTAGGTTGTGCTGTGGTAACAAACTTGCCCCAACAGTCCAGTAGTTTCATACAACAAAAATTTATTTCTCACTCATGTAATATATCTATTGAGGGCTCTGCACCACCTAGACATTCAAGACTCATTGACAGAGTCATGTCTTGGTTATAGCTCATGGAAACATGGCTCTCTTTGTAGCCTCAGTAGAGAAAAAGAATGGGTAAGCACACAGCTCTTCACTATCCCAGTTTAGAAATAACCCTTGTCATTTTTGTTCATATTCATTGATCAGAGCTTGCCACATGGTACCACTTAACTGTAAGAGGAGCTGGAAAATTCAAGTGAGCAAATATTAACATAATGTACCAAGTTTTATACTAAGTTTTCCTACAAAATTTACAATTTATGGTTGTGTTATGATTTTTGTAAGAACCAGTCATCTGAAATGTGTGACAGTTACCTCTTAATGACTTCTCAAGTGCACATACTTTGATTTATTTTATTTTATTTTATTTTTTTAAATTGATTATGCTGTTACAGTTGTTCTATTCCCCCCTTCATTCCCCTCCACCCTGCCCCCCCATCCCCACCATTACCCCCCCTTTAGTTTATGTCCATGTGTCTCAAGTCCTTTAGATTCTATATTTCCCATGCTATTCTTGCCCCCCCCCCATCTATTTTCTATCTACTGTCTATGCTACTTATTTTCTGTACCTTCTCCCCCCATCTCCTCCTCCCACTCCCCTGTTGCTAACCCTCCTTGAGATCTTCATTTCTATGTTTCCACTCCTGATCTAGCTGTCCTTTTAGTTTGCTTTCGTTTTAGGTGTGGTTGTTAATAACTGTGAGTTTGTTGTCCTTTCACTGTTCATGTTTCTTTAACTTCTTTTTCTTAGATAAGTCCCTTTAACATTTCATATAATAAGGGCTTGGTGATGATGAACTCCTTGAATTTGATCTTATCTGAGAAGCACCTTATCTGTCCTTCCATTCTTTCTAAATGAAAGTTTTGCTGGATAGAGCAATCTTGGTTGTAGGTCTTTGGATTTCATGACTTGGAATACCTCTTTCCAGCCCCTTCTTGCCTGTAAGGTTTCTTTTGAGAAATCCACTGACAGTCTGATGGGGACTCCTTTGTAGGTGACTGTCCCCTTAGCTCTTGCTGCTTCTAGGATTCTCTCCTTCATTTTAATTTTGGCTAATGTAATTATGATATGCCTTGGTGTGTTTCTTCTTGAGTCCAACTTTTTTGGTACTCTCTGAGCTTCTTGGATTTCTTGGAAGTCTATTTCCTTTGCCAGATTGGGGAAATTTTCTTTTATTATTTGTTCAAATAAGTTTTCCACTGGTGGCTGTGTCTTTCCCCCTTCTGGTACCCCTATAATTCGGATGTTGGAGCATTTAAAGATGTCCTGGAGGTTCCTAAGACTCTCCTCATTTCTTTGAATTCTTGCTTCTTGACTCTTTTCTGTTTGGCCATTATTTGCTTTCTTCTGGTCCACTCCATTGATTTGAGTCCCAGTTTCCTTTTCATTGCTATGGGTTTCCTGTGGAATTCCATTCATTTCCATTAGTTTAGCCTTCATATGTTTCTCTAATTTGTGGCTATAATCAACCAGATCTGTGAGGATCCTGATGACCAGTGTTTTAAACTGTGCGTCTGAGAGTTTTGCTATTTCTTCGTCGCTTAGATTTATCTCTGGGGCTTTGAGGTCTTCCTGCGACATTTTTGGTCTGTTCTGGCCCTTTAAATGTGAGAAGTGGCGCCTTGGACTCCCAGGTCGCTGGGTTGTGACGCTGTATGTGGGGGCGTGGTCAGAGCGGGGAAATGGCGGCGCCCTCTACTGCGGCGGCGGCTGGTCCAACCGCCCACTCCCTCACCTGTCTGCTCGCCCGCAAATAGGCAACCGCAGTCAACACGCAGCACCGCCTCCCCACTGTCTCCTCTGCAGTCGCTCACCCGGTGGGTTGCTCGGTCGCTCACGAGGTCCAATCCTGCGTTTGGAACCCGTGCGTCTGGATTCGCGCGTCTGGATTCCGCGCCCGGGTCCCGGGTCCGACCCAGTCCTCCTGTGCAACCCCTCACGAGACGCCGGTTTCGCCCCTTACCGGTCGGGCTGAAGAATTTGTTGTTAACGGACTTCCGAAAAGTTCAATTTTCCACGTTCTGGTTGTGTTTTCTGATGCTAATATTTAGTTGTCCCTAAACTTGGTTGTGTGAGAAGGCACGGCACATCCACCTATACCTCCATCTTGGCGGAAGTCCATACTTTGATTTTAATACTTTAAATGAAATTGTTTTGACATGCAACTTGATGTAACCTAAAGAGAACTATTTTGAAATGTTTTCAAATAAATACCCTTATAAAGAAAACTAAATCAAAGTGTTAAAAAGACAAATTAAAATTGTTAATTTCTTAATTCTAGCTTATAAGAGAATAGCTAACACAGGTTTTCCCTTGTGGCAAATATAATACATATAAAAACTGCATAAAGCATGTATGTCTAGTTTAATAAATAATTATATAGCTAACACCATGTAACTACAAACCAAAGGGCATACCTTTTTTCACCTGCTAGAATTTGTATGTTTTTCACACAAAGTTCCTTTTCAGTACTAGCTATTACATGGCCTTGCACTTTTATTTTACATGATGAATTAAGAACTGTTTTGAGAAAAATAACTTTTACAGGCAGATCAGCAAAGGGGGTAAGCCACTGATTCTGGAGAAAATGTTGCTTGGGTTTGAATCCCCATTCTTCCATTTACTGGCTGTGATCTCAGACTAGTTGTTCAATTTCTCTGTGCCTCATTCTAAAAATTTGGAAAAGAAAATTACTCATCTTATAGGACCATTGAGGATAGTAAATGATCTCATATATGGAGAAGTTCTTAGAACGTTTCCTGACACATAGTAGGTGCTCTTTGGTGATGATTATTATAAAAACATATCATTAAAAACCACAATTTATTTCATATGGAGGTTTTTATACTGAAGTGCCTTATTATCAACATAAAGAATTTTTGACAAATCTATTAGTGTTACTCAAAAACACTAGAATGAAATCAAAGTGTAGCATGAAATGGAAAATACTATGATAAGAATAGTTAAATATTGGCTGTTCCTATGTCAAGATTGAAAGCACTGATAAATGTTTCCTTAAATTTTTATTCTTCAAGACAAAACTTTTTTCTCATTAAAGTATATATTTGTGAGGATGATCAAATATTTTAAATTATTTTGTCCTCCTAGGGTGTAACCTAGTGAGTAATAGAACCCGAGAGTAAGTAGGGACCAGAACTGTGGCTTTCAGAACCTTTTGACTGCGGTCTGCAGTAGCAAATACATTTTACATCATAACTCAAAGCACACATATGTCTACATATATGTATATACACATATTTGTATACACACATAAACATACACATAATGGAAATGAAAATTCCATGACAGGCATATGACATTAAGTGTAATTAAGTGTAATATCTTCTCT